GGGACCTCTCCAAAGTACTGAAGAGCAATGGTGTCTCTCTGGAGACTAAAGTGCGTCTGATACAGGCTATGGTCTTTGCTATCACTTGTTATGCATCAGAGAGTTGGACAATGACTAAGGAGGACAGAAGGAGAATTGATGCCTTTGAGCTGTGGTGCTGGAGAAGAGTATTGAGGGTACCCTGGACTGCTAGGTAAACAAACAGATTCATCCTGGAGAGGGTTAAACCAGGCTGCTCCTTGGAGGCAAGGATTCTGAGGCTTCGTCTAACATACTTTGGACATGTTGTAAGGAGGGACTGGTCCTTGGAGAGGGACATCATGCTTGGGAGGGTGGAGGGACAGCACAGAAGAGGAAGGCCCTCTATGAGGTGGATTGATTCAGTGACTGGAATAATTGGGACGGGAGTGTCAGAGACAGTGCGATTGGCACAGGATAGAGCAGAATTTAGGGCTGTTGTACATAGGGTCGCTATGAGTCGCAAGCAACTTAACGGCACATAACAACAACAACATGTATCTGTCTATCTATCTATCTATCTATCTATCTATCTATCTATCTATCTATCTATCTTATCTATATCAGTGCTGATGACTTACTGGTAAGGAATTTCACTGCCAACCCAAAGGCATACAGTTCTAATCCAGCAATTCATTGGGTGGGAGGAAAATGGGAAATCTTTTCATGTGTGATTTACAACCTCTAAAAACTACTGGAGAGTCTGCTATGGGTCAGTTTTAACTCAACAGCACATAACATCATCACCATTATCATTCATCACATTGCTGAGTGAGCCTGAACTGACCCAATGCTCCATTGGGGCCTAAGAGGTTTTAAATCACATGGGAAGACAATGCCCATCATTCCCTGTGGAAAAGCTGGTTTATTTGAATTGCCTGCCTTTGAGTTGGTAGTGCAACTCACCTCTCACTAAGCTACCAGAGCTACATCTACACACACACACACACACACACACACACACACACACACACACACACTCTTTGTGTTCATGCAGTGTGTGTGCGCGCGTGTGTGTATCTCTATCTCTATCTCTATTTAAGCAACACGCAAAAATGTAGTAAGTGATACCGTTAGACCTAGAGTTTGGTTATAGGAGTGGAAGCTGCAGGGAAGGTAGCTTTTGAGTTGCTCTAAAGTCAGAAGAAATGGGAAGGAAAGTTAACAGTGAATGTGAAGTGTGTGGTTCATGATGTGAGGGACCTAAGTGATTGGTCTATTTGAAGTGTATATTGTTGACTCAGGTAGGCTCATCTGGATAGACGATCTCCAACTTAGTGTTTAAATCATGCTGTATTTTTTTAGTAGAAAGTTTGCTTTTAAAAAAACAAAAAGATGTGTTTCAGACCTTTGATCATCCAATCAGTTCACTCATTGCTGCCCAGGAATCCATACCTCAGTCCACTGCACCCTCTCTACCAAGTGACCAGACAAGAACAGTACTTGTAACTCTGTAGCAGTGGGAAGATGTCCCTTTCCCAGTGTTCTTTAGCCAACCCCTAGGTGAGCCAAGGTACAGCAACATTCACACCTATCACCAACACATTGCACTAGCCCATCTGTAGATGAAGCCTATGTTTTTATTTTCTTTCAGGAAAAAGCAACTCAAAGATAATTCATAGCGAAGCCATAGGTCTGCATTATAGGAGAAGCTTTAGTGTAATTAACAGAGATTGATGCCCTAGGAGACAGGATCACTTATTCATGTAATTTACGGGCTCCTTTTAGGCCCAATTCCAAATGTGCTATTTTTGCACAATGGATTATTTTTATGCCCACTCATAGGGATTCTGATAATCTCATTAGTGGCGACTCTGGTACTATAGATTCGTAGTGTCACGTTATCAAACCTAACTTTCCAATGTTGTTGAGTTCTGTAGAGTTGGAACCAACCCAAAGCTGACCTTCGATGGGAGTAGGTTTTCCATTCTTCTCCTGTGGAGCAGCTGGTGGTCTTAAACCGCATGGCTTCAGGATTGGAGTGCAGCTTCTTGCCACTAGGCCACCAGAGCTCCCTGATAGAGTTCCCAATATTTCTTGAGTTATCTTTCAAAATGTGACCATCTCTTTACTATGAGGCACAGTCTGTGTTACCACTCTCCTCTCTTAATCTAACTAGGCTCCACAAAGCATCCTTATCCATCAGATGCATCTAGCACTTTGGATCTGCTCGGTCCATCACATGGCTTCAATGGCAGGACAGCTTGTGCTGTGGATGAGACCTGATGCAGAACACCCTGAGGCTCTGTGCCTTCTCAAAGTCTTCTGTTTTGATGTACCTGGCTAATGAGTCAGAAACTATCCCCAAGGGTACTAAATGACTAAACCATTCATTTGGATGGGAGGTGAGGGGGAGAAATAGATAAGAGAATCAGGGAAGGAGATAAAGTGATTGTCAGCATGTATTATTAAATCTGCCTCAGGAGATAAGGTGGACCAGGTGAGGAGTCTTAGGAAATGTGTTTCCTGATTGCCTGTGGTATGGAGAATGAAGAAAAGGATTTATTCACAGGCTTCAGCTTCCCCTGTACTACAGAGTTGTATGTGGATGTGCACTGAACAGTTTTCCAAGCCTGTCTCCTGTCTCAGTGGAGCATAAGGCAAAAAGACACAAGGACTAGCTTTGAAGCAAGACACTATCAGTAGTACTCTTGCATTGCTGGTCAAATCCAAGTGTGATTAAATGCCACTGCCCTGGCTTCAGTAAGACACAGGGCCAAGAGAATTTGAAAATATATGTAAGAACAAGGTAAGGAAAAGGATCTTCTAGATCTCTTCAGTGGTCATAGAATTCTGATGATGACAGAAATGTTTCAAGTGCTTGAAGCATCTAGAGGAATTATCAGAGACATTTCAAACTATTGCCAACAGAACTTCTTTATTTAAGTAAACTCCCCAGGGGTGTCTGGAGGAAGAATGTTGCAATTGCCCCCAGGTTTGATCACTCCTTGAAGAAATCTGATATCTAAGTGTACCAGATCAGAGATAAGGCTCTGCTCCTGATCAGAAAAGCCCACACTCAAGTTAAAGAACAGGACCCCCAACCCTAATTCCTAGCAAAATACCATCTTCCCTTGTCTTCCCTAAAACCCTATAAAAAGGAACTGTCCTTGACTGCCCTCTATCCACACTTGAGGTCACTTGGCATCCTTCTCAGACTGTGCAATAAAGGCCTGTTTGTTTCTTGGGACCAACTTCTTTCTTTCTGTCACTCAATTATTTTTTCTAACAGTATCCTCTCCAGTTGGGCATCTGGTTTTGGTAAATTGAATGTTATCATAATTCTGGTCCCTGTTTTGTCACTAGAAAAACCAATCTTGAAGATAGGAGTTGGAACTGAAAAAGTAGAAGACCTTTTCTATGTTGTTGTTGCTCTTAAGTGTCTTCAAGGTTGTATATTATTCACTGTGACCCTGATACAGAAGCCTATACAGGTATCGATTATAAAACTATAGTTTTCTCCAGCCTGCAGGACTGGTTGCTTGACCTTGGAGTTCTTAGTGTCATTTCTGTGATCTGTCTGTTAATCAGAAGAGGAGATGCATCTCCTAGATTAGCTGTTATCTCTTTGAAGCTGTTTCCCCCAATCATATGTAAATTGTAACTTAATCTGCCTGTTTGCCTGGAAAGGAAGTATCTGGGTGTGAATGATTGTATTTCAAATATAGAAATTATTTAATTATTTAATTATTTATTATTTAATTATTAAAAACAAAAGTTTATTGTTAAGTGAATTGATGTCTCACCATCTTATAAAAGCCCATGACCACTCCGAGGTGGGGAGACAGTCTTGGAGGTGACTGGCTATCTCCCAGATCTGTGTAATAAAGTGCATTTATGGATATTGCAATCCATTTGTCTTATGGAAAGAACCCCTTGTGTTCTTTAACAATCCCATCAACAATAGATCTGACCCTTGCCCTATCCTGCACCATCCTCAAGGTGTCTGTCATGCTCAAACCCTTTGTGGTAGTTGCTATGTCAGTCCATCTCATTAAAGGTCTTCCTTTCTTTCACTGGCACTCTACCTTTCCCAGCCTGATGTCTTTTACCAAGCACTGGTCCCTCTTGAAGGTATATTGAGAGTATTCTTAGATGATGTTTCACTAAAGGTGGTGGTGGTGGTGATGGTTGTTGTTATGTGCTGTCTAGTCTAATATGACACATAGCAACCATAGAAGCAACAAATCTGAATCCTGTCCTCTCCTGTGCCATCCTCATCACTTCTGACATTCTTAAGTCTATTGCTACTGTCAGTGTGTCAATTCAAGTCATTGAGAGTCATCCTCTCCTTCACTAACACTCCATCTTTCTAAGCATGAAGGAAAAGCATGATGTCCCTTTTTTTTTTTTCAGCATGGGAAAGTCTGCTGTTAGGTACCTCTCTAAAATACTCAAGAGCAACAGTGTCTCTTTGGAGACAAAGGTGCGCCTGATACAGGCCATGGTCTTCGCAATCACTTGTTATGCATCAGAGAGCTGGACAATGACTAGGGAGGACAGAAGGAGAATTGACGCCTTTGAGCTGTGGTGCTGGAGAAGAGTATTGAATGTACCATGGACTGCCAAGAAAACAAACAGATCCATCCTAGAGAGGGTTAAACCAGGCTACTCCTTGGAGGCAAAAATTCTGGGGCTTCGTCTGACATACTTTGGACATGTTGCAAGGAGAGACAGTTTTTTGAGAGGGACATCATGCTGGGTAGAGTAGAGGGACAGCGCAGGAGGGGAAGACCCTCTATGAGGTGGATTGATTCAGTGACTGGGGTACTCAGGATGGGTGTGTCGGGGGCAATGAGATTGGCACAGGATAGAGCAGGGTTTAGGGCTGTTGTATATAGGGTCGCTATGAGTCGCAGACGACTCGACGGCACATAACAACAACAACGACAAGCTTTATTAAAGTTTTTAAAAACGGGTGTCCATGCCAGTGAGGATAGTGGTGGGGAAAAGGGAAGGGTAAGAGTAGAAGGAATTCTGTCTTATTGGTAATATAGCTCTAGCTCCAGGTTCATCCCATTGTGGATTTCATAGTTGCCCAAGCACACGTGGTCCTTGAAAATGGTGTACCACTTCTTAAGGACAATTTTGTTCCAGCGGGTGCCGGTTTGGGCTGCGATGAGCTTCTTAAGATCTCCAATGGTGTCATCAGTGTTGCACTTAAGGCAGACCTTCTTCCCCAGACGGTCGTTGCAAACCACCTCGATCATTCTGGCTTGGGCTCAAACCTGCTTGGAACCAGCGATGCCACAAGCTTCGATGTCCCTTTCTTAACAACATGTCCAAAGTATGTGATACAAGCTTCACTACCTTTGCCTTCAAGGAGCACTCTTACTGCACTTTACCTAAGACATACTTGTTTGTTCTCTGTGCTGTGTAAGTTTGTAAGGTCATGGACTTCAGAAAAGGACCAGAAAATAGGAAAGCTTAAAGGCAGCTTTATGTTGAGACAAAGCTTCTTTATCTTTACCTTCAAGGAGGACACTGACTGCACTTTCTGTAAGCCATATCTGTTCATTCTCTTGGCTGTGTTATGTTGTAAAATCACAGACTCGAGAAAGGGACCAGCAAATAGGAAAGCTTAATGGCAACTTTATTAAGGGGGCTCTTTCCCAGGTGAGGTTCCTTGATCTGGGAAGAGATGCTGAGGAAGTCGCACTTAGGGTGTATGGGGAGGGGGGGAGTGTTATAGTGGGCCTTACAGGGAGGGGGAAGGGTAAGGAGGGACATTCCATTTTGATTAAGAGTTCAGTCAGGTGAGCGAGGCCATTCGCATTCTTTTGATTCCTTATCCCCCTGGCCTAACAGGCTGTCCATGGGATGTTCAGCTCTTCTCCAACACCACGGCTCTAAGGCATCAATTCTTCTTCTGTGGTCCTTATTTATTGTCTGGCTTTTAGATGCATTACAGGTATTAAAAAGACCATGGTTTGATTAGACACACCTTTGTTTTTAAAATGACATAATTGTTCTGCAGGATCTTGGAGAGGTCCTGGACAGCAGACTTTTCCAGTTGTTGATGTAAGATGAAATCATTAAAATATAAATCTCTTCCAGTCACTTGGCCAAGTAGCTTCCAAATTTTCTGGCATAGACTGGTGAGCATGTACAGGGTACATCTGTTAGTTGAAACATGTCAATTGGTTTTCTATTGATTTGGGGGGCCCTTTTTTAGCCAATGCCTTCAATTCAGCTTGAACTTACTCCCTCATAATCATTGACTCTATTATATGCTATTTTCAGAAATATTTTAATGTTAGCCAATTTTTTAGTACAGTGACTGTGTATTTCCTCTATCGTTTTTTGATGCTTCTTGGATCATTCAAGATTTTTCCTATAGCATTTCTCAGTATTACAACTCAAGGCAACTTTTAAAATGTATAGGGATTGTGTATCAATGAAGGAGTTTTTCTCTTGCTTTTCAAGGAGAGGAGCAAACTGGAGGTGGGGGTAGGGGTGAGTGGGTGGGGAGAAAAGGGCAACAATAAAAAAAATGTATAGTGAGTTCTTTTATTTTCCAACTCTAGCTATCTGCACATTTCATTGTTTTGTCTTCTTGAGGTGCACTTTAAAATCTGTTCATCTCCTTTTCTTCAACATTTCTTCCTTTCGCTTTGACTTCTTGTCATTCTAGTGTAATTTTCAGTCTCTTCTGATATCAATTTTGATCTTTTCTTCCTTCTCTGCCTTTATACCAACCTTTTGCTCTCTTCATGGTTATCATGGATGTCATACTGCAACTCATGTCTTTTTCAGTCATTAGTGTTCAATGCCTTAAACCTATTACTGAGGTGATTTTTAAATTCAAATGGCATAGACAGGTTTTGAAAACCCTATGGAAAAATAGAATACAGATAGTTATAGTAGCAGGTGTAGAACCCAGATGTTGTTGGTGCTATTAGGTGCCATGGAGTCAAATAATACAACTCATAGTGACCCTGTGAACAATAGATCTTTGCTATCCTGTGATATTCTTACAATCTCTGACACACTCTAGTCTTTTGCTGCAGTCACTGTGTCAACCACCAGGTTGAGGGTATTCCTCTCTTTTGCCTTTTCTCCACCTTCCTAAGCATGATATCTTTCTCTTAGCATCATGCTCAAAGTATGTGAGACAAAGCTTCACTATCCTTGCCTCTAAGAAGCACTCTGGCAGAACCTTCTGCAAGATGTATCTGTCTTTTGACAGTTCATGAGATATTCAATTGTTGTTGTTGTTGTTATGTGCCATCGAGTTGCTTGCAGCTCATAGTGACCCTATGTACCACAGCCCTAAACCCTGCTCTATCCCTTGCCAGTCTTATTGTCTCCTATCCCCATCTCCCCAGTGAAATCAATCCATCTCATCAAGGGTCTTCCTCTCCTGCACTGTCCCTCCACCCTGTCAAGGATTTTGTTCCTCACCAAGGACTGATCTAGCCTTGCAACATGTCCAAAGTATGTCAGATGGAGCTTCAGAATCCTTGCCTCCAAGGAGCAGCCTGGCTTTACCATCTCCAGGATGAACTTGTTTGTTCTCCAAGCAGTCCATGGTATATTCAATACTCTTCTCCAACATCAAAGCTCAAAGGCATCAACTTTCCTTCTATCATCATGCTCTCTGATGCGTAGCAAGTAATTGCAAAGGCCATGGACTGTATCAGACACACCTTAGTCTCCAGATTGACATTGTTGCTCCTCAGTACTTTGGAGAGGTCTCTGACAGTAGACTTTCCCAATGCAATTCATCTTTTAATTTCCTGGCTGCTGATACCAAGAGTGTTTGTTGTAGAGCCAACTAAACTGAAGTTGGGAACAATCTTAATCTCTTCATCATCCATCATGATGCTGTCAACCGGCCCAGTGGTGAAAATCTTTGTTTTCTTGATGTTGAGCTTCAATCCATATTGAAGGCTGCAATCCTTGACCCTCTACAGCCAGCACCTCAGGTCCTCTTCAACTTCAGCAAGAAAGGTTGTATCATCTACATAGCACAGATTGTTGATGAGTGAGTCTACCTCCAATCCTGATGCTACACTTCTCCTCATAGAGCCCAGCCTCCCGGATTATCTGTCCTGTTTATAGATTGAAAAGATATGGAGATAGGGCAGCCTTGATGCACACCCTTTTCCAATTTTGAACCATACAGTGTTTCCTTGCTCTGTTCTGACAACTGCCTCCTGGTCCAAGTATAAGTTTCACGTAAGCACAATCAAGTATTCTGGGACTCCCATTCTTCTCAGAGTCAGCCATAGTTTGTCTTCTCCAATATCACAGTTTAAAAACATCAATTCTTCTTCTGTCATCTTTAATCATTGCCCAGCTCTCAGCAGTAGAGCAAGAGATTAAAAAGACCAGACTTGAATCAGGTACACTTAGTCCTCAAACTTAGATCATTACTCCTCAATAATTTGGAGAGATCCCTGACTGCAGACTTTCCCAATGCAATACTTGTCCTTTCCTGACTGCTGGTACCAAGTGTGTTGATTGTGGATCCAAGTAAAATGAAGTCATTCAGTTTCAATTTTTCTCCTCTATCATGATGTCACTTTTTGGCCCAGTGGTGGAAATGTTTGTTTTCTTGATATTGAGATAGAATCCATATTGAAGGCTACAGTGTTTGATCTTCTGTAGCAAGTTCTTCAAGCCCTCATTACTCTTATCAGGAAAGGTTGTTTTATCTATGTTAAATCAGTTGTTGATAAGTCTTCCAATCTGGATGCCACATTCTTCTTCATAGAGTCTAGCTTCTGGAATAATTTTCTCACCATACGGTTTGAGGATACCAGCTGCTCCAAGGGAGAAAGATAGTCAGTCTCCTCCTGTGTGGTTAACTGCCTCTAAAAACTCTCCAGAGGGTAAGCTATGGGGCAGTTCTGACACTATGGTACACAAAAACAACAAATTAAATAGGTATGGAGAAAGGATACAATCCTGGTACACACCTGTCTTAATTTTAAACCATGTAGTGTTCTCTTCTTTGTTCAGACAGCAGCTTCTTGATCTAAGTATAGACTTCACATGAGCACAATCAAGTGTTTTGTGATTCCTATTCTCAATATTAGTCATAATTTGTTTTGATCCACAAGGTCAAATGCCTTTGCATAGTCAAAAAAGCACCAATAGTCATTCTTCTGGTATTCTTTGCTTTCAACCAGGATCCATCTGACATCAGCAATGATATCCCTGGTGCTATGATCTTTTCCAAATCCAGCTTGAACATCTGGCAGTTCTCTGTCTATGTACTTTTCTATGTATATGTAGAGCCCAGATGGGAAGTCACTTAAAAAATGAGAAGAAACAGCTGCAAACATCCACTAAAACCTGGAATGTGGACTTGTTGAAGTATGGCTATAGAACAACTCTAAGTTGTAAACAAAGGAAACGGAACATAAAGTTAGATATTCTAGGCATCAGTCAGCTGAGATAGACTGGAATTAGCCAATTTAACTTGTTGTTAAGTGCCGTCGAGTCACTTGTAACTCATAGCCACCCTATATACAACAGCTCTAAACTCTGCTTTGTCCTGTGCCAATCGCACTGTCTCCGACACACTCATCCCAATTGCCCCAGTCACCGAATCAGTCCACCTCCCAGAGGGCCTTCCCCTTCTGTGCCTGCCTTCCACCCTGTCAAGCATGATGTTCTTCTCCAAGGACTGATCCCTCCTTACAACATGACCAAAGTATGTCAGACAAAGCCTCAGAATCCTTGTCTCCAAGGAGCAGCCCAGTTTAACCCTCTCCAGGATGAATCTGTTTTGTTAGCAGTCCATGGTACATTCAATACTCTTCTCCAGCACCACAGCTCAAAGGCATCAATTCTCCTTCTATCTTTCCTAGTCATTGTCCAACTCTCTGATGCATAACAAGTGATTACAAAGACCATGGCCTGTACCAGACACACCTTAGCCTTCAGAGTGACACCATTGCTCTTCAGCACTTTGGAAAGGTCCCTAAC